GTCGTTTTATTTCCTTTTTGACACCGTAATAACACATTAAAATTATTATGGCATTCTTGAAAATCGATAACAATATCAATATAATGTAATTAATAATCGCTAAAAAACTGTGAGGATCCATCAAGATATTGAAGGATTGACAATATTGATATTGACAATAAGCAGAATGTAAAAATAACATTCCAGTGTAAGAAATAGATTATGATTTTCCAATAAGAATTATCGGTTAAGAACGTCGAGTCAAGACCTTCTTGAGACGTTGAGAGGGGAAAATAAGCAGTGATGCCCTTTCTGGCAACACTCTTCACGCCGACGTGCGGCAAGTTGCATTCCGCTCACATGCCGAGGTGCTATTAAATACCTCAAGTACTTGGGAAACAATTGATAATCTTCAGCTGCGTAGTGATACAAATAGTGATTTTCATTTAAAAATCATCAATGTTAATTTTATTTATTTAACGTCAAACTGTAAAATTAACTATGTTATGTTTGGGAAGCAATCTGCGGACGATACTTTGAGCCGATTTTTTTTCTATAATCAGCCGTCTCTTTTGCTATAATTTGTTTAATTATGATGAAATCAAAAAAGAGCGTTTGAAGCAACATAAGAAAACATAAAAGGCAACATAGAAAGAGCATTTGAAGCAGTAAACGAGCTACAGATTTTGTTTTACGCTACTGCTGACGAAATTACAACTCATTCCTTCCTAATCTAGCAAAACAAGGCCTAAGAAAACGTTCGTAAATAATTAAGGTACATTTGTTGTTAAGAAAAAAGTAAGGATACATCGCAGAATTTTGCTCAGAGGATCAATGAAAACTAGACGAGAAACTGATCGAGATGGCAGTTGTTGTCCCAGAAACTGTATTAAAGTAATGATCAGTTTTTTTATGCTTAAAATAATTTTGAATAACACTAGTCAACAGCAATATTGTTTCGGTGATGAAATTAATAATTTCTGAATAATTTTGAGCTTCTAATTACCTATATTGCAATAAGAATTGTGTCAATAGTCTCATTTTCAATATACAGGAGAAAAGTATTCAGCTTCTTTAAACATAATTTTTTCCTTCAACTTGTGGAGGATTTGGGGCAACTATTGAGAATCTTCTGGAAGAAATGGTCTTGTACGAGATATTGAATTTTCGAAATCTATATTTGGCATCCAGACGTCAACAGAGTGAATTCCTCGCCGAAAATGTAAATATTCATGCACAAAGGTCGTCAAAAGTCTGTTGTTTAAAAACGTAGAAAGACTAACGTATTCCTTGAATATATGCCTCCTCTACCGAAGAATGAGACCTTTTAGATTCTGAGCCTAAAAGCCATTTTATCCTACTAGATCAATGGACAGACTTCATCACTTTCTCTTCCTGTAGGCTATGAAGTAAATGTCTTTCCAATTGAAAAGGTTCATTATAAATCTTATCTTTTAAATACATTGATTGGTTTTCATTATTTTTATTTGTAATAAATATTGTAATGATTTAAAGACATATCCACAATATTTAACTTCAACGAGGATACCAACGTACAATTACTTCATTTGGGAATGTGACTATCGAGATAAGATTTCGTACTTGAGGGGTAATGCGTTTCAAGCGAATTTGTATTTCGGGGAAAATGTATTTTGTATTTAATATTTTTATCTAAAAATCATCCAAATAGATTCTAGAACTATTAGAGAAGCCCACGAGTACAGCCAATAATAGAAACATAGTAATACGTATTTATCATAATGTATTTTCTGCAATACTTTAACTTATATTTCAAGACTTTTTATGAAGGTTTTCATGACCTCATATTTTCACATCAAGCATTGATGCACCACGATATCGATCCCTTCCGGAAGAAAACAAGTTGCCCGTGCTGAAGTAGCCCAGGGCGGCCCGGGGTGGGCGCGGCGCGCGAGGGGGACGCACCTGCAGCACGCGTCCGGCGAGGGCCGCGTCGCCGGCGCCCTCCAGCCCGCGAACCACCACGCGGTCCGGCAGCGCCACGCGCCGGATGGCCTCGGGCCGCAGCCCGGCCGCC